CTTTTTTAAAAGAAAGGCTTATAGTGGCAGTGCCATTGTACCATCTCCCTGAAGCTCATTCTAGTTTCAAAGCTACTAACTAGCACAGTTGTAATTTTTAGGGTTGCATGTAGACTAAGATGAATGCTAAAACCTAGTCATCTCACATATTCATTCTCGGCAGTAAGGAGGAGAAAAGAGAGAGAGGATCAGTAAGATCTTTTGTCTGATGTCATTTTTCCTTTTAAGGAGACTTTCCATAAGTTGTATGATGTTAGTCTTACTTACATGGCCTTAGTTTGCTTTGAAGAATATTAGGGAATCTACTCTTGGCTAAGTACATTATAATCCTTGATGATAGAGGTATCTTTTAGAAAGGAAGATAGGAATAATCAAGTGAAATGGTTACTGTCTTTACCACGGTATTGATTATCTATGTAACAACAAAGTTTTCAAGATGATGAAGGGACAAGAAAAGACCCCAAGGTTCATGGGCGATTACAAGAGTAACATGTTTAGATGGCAGAGGGTGGCATGAGCCCAAGACCGGAATGTTGAGAAGACATTGAGAAAATATTGAAATTTAAGTAGCAGTAGAATTTAAGTATGTGAAGAGGAAAACATGCCAACCTTAAGAGGAATGTGAGAGAATTTTTTTTTAGATCCCTCACTACTCAAAAGAACTGAAATTATAAGTGATTTCTTCATGTGACATTAGGTTTTAGTTAAGTCAGAGAAAGAGATCTGAGAAGATGTAAAGGGGTATGCTGATTAAACAGTAGTAATCCAGGGACCTGAAATAGGGGGAATGAGGGCGTAGGGAGGAAACTGTCCTAGTTGGGGCAAGAAAATACCTCATCGTAATGAAGAGAATTGGTCATGCAGTAGGGCCATGATCCTCAACCTTTTGATTGATCACCTGCCCATATATATATTTTTAAATGAAACTAAATCTCTTTTATGTATATTATTTGTAAATTATATTGATGTATTGATGTACTAATATATATCATGAGATATGTAAAAATATAAAATTTAGAAGAATGAAAGAAAAATACCCAGTCAAAAATGGTAATGTTTTCTTTGTCCACTCCAGGCAGTTGTTTTCTGAATCCTGGGATATGTGAGTCTCAAAGATCTTAGCTTCAGTGTAACTGAGGGTACTGGCTCTGTTAAGAAAATATGAGCAATGTGCATGTGACCTGGCATTCTAATCCCTATTCTCTACTGGAAACTGCCTTCTTAAAAATAAGAGCAAGGACCCTATTAGCCTTCAGGAATTTTGGCAGTACAGTAAGGCATAGTAAGATTAAATTTAGGGAAAGAAAAATTATATTATCATTTATAGATGTTATTATGGAAGAAGATGACATGATCTGGGATGTTAGCAAAATTAAATAGCCAAAAAGCATTACAGAAGAAACCATAAACCACTRTAGAAAAAGATTAGCATATTAAGTGATTTTGAAACAGATACCAGTAATTGTGGGAAATACAAGTTAGACTAGAGTTAAATTGAAAAGATTAAACCATAGGAAAAAAAATAGAAAAGTCATAGAACTGATTATTTAATTCTCTGGAGATAAAAGAACTTTCCAAACTTAGATTTGTTGGGGTTGGAGGATTGTCACAAATAGTAGTTTGGGCTACATAAGCATTATAAGGTACTTTATTTAAAAATAACATTCAAAAATTAAAAGACTGGGCATAGTATTTACAGCCAATGTTTTTATTATTTAAAGATCTCCATATGATGCACTTTAAAAAAAAGAAATATAGCACAAACTCTGAAAGGACAAGGACAGCACACAGAAAAGAAGTGGTTAGGGAGTTCTGATAGTTTTAAGTAAAACAGCATGCTTTAATCAGGCACAAGACTTGAATAACTCAAAAGAAATATGAGTGGTTTTGGAAGCATTTTTTTCATGACATTATTTTTTTTTCTTACTTGCATCCCTTGAGTATTTTTATGTAATTTTTTTATTTATATATCACAGAAGAATGCATTACAATTCTTATTACATATAAAGAGTACAATTTTTCATATCTCTGGTTGTATACATAGTATATTCACACCAATTCATGTCTTCATACCTGTACTTGGATCATAATGATCATCACATTCCACTTCATTAACTACCCCATGCCCCCTCTCTTCCCGTCCAACCCCTCTGCCCTATCTAAAGTTTGTCTATTACTCCCATGCTCCCACTCCCTATCCCACTGTGAATCAGCCTTGGAAGCATTTTTAATAGGGATTGAGGCAACTGATTAAAATCTAGCATAGTTAAATGGGAAAAAGGCCTAGATATTTGGTTGATAATGTGAATGGTTAAAAAGAGAGATGAAAAGGAGAGAGAATTTAAGTCAGATGTGTGATCAAAGCAATGGATATTTAAGCTATGCAACATTTTTTTTTTTGCCTTTCAAATTAGTATCTGTACATCAAAGTGATCACTTTTGCTGGCTAGTATACAATAAAAGCACCATGCCTTTACTCTGTTATGGGAGTATCAAATGTGTATGGCATTTAAAAAATTTTTTTTTAGTTGTTGATAGACCTTTTAGTATTTTTATTTATATGTGGTGCTGAGAATCAAACTTGGTGCTTCACACATGCCATGCAAGTGTATTACCGCTGAGCCCCAGCCCCAGCCCATGTATGGCATTTTGAACCTCCATTTTTTTCCTTCTGAAACTGGATTTAATCCTTAGTTTTGGTATGAGGAAATAAATACATTAGTAAATTTCAAGCTGTCTAACATGAGAGGTCTAAAAGTCTTAGACATTAAAAAATATAAAATTAGGGGCTGGGGTTGTGGTTCAGTGGTAGAATACTCACCTAATATGTGTGAGACGATGGATTCGATCCTCAGTACCACATAAATTAAATAAAATAAAGATATTGTGTCTATCTACAACTAAAAAAAATTGTGTAAGTACAAAATCAGATAATATCATTAAAATTAACAGTGGGTACGGTAAATCACTATCATGAATGTATTAATACATTTTCAAAGAGGAGTTTATCAGGTAGACATAATTGAATTGTAAATCCTAGGAGTAACTAACATATCCCATTATGATGCTATAGTAAAGCAAATGGTGATAAGCTAATGGACTAAAAGCAGGATGAACAATTGGGTCCTATTTCATGAAAACATAATGGATGATAAAAGTGACATTTTTATCAGTGGGGCAGAATGTACTTTATTTCATTTATGTTTGTATCTATTCAGAAAATGTTTATTCAGAGCCAAGCGCTAGCCTAGATGCCAGGGATACATCAGCAACAAGATAGGATAAAATCCTCATTATCATGAAGTTTGAATTGTGGTTAGATAAATACTAAGCATTATTAAATATAAGATAATTTTGTCCTTAGGTGAAAAGCAGGGAGGAAAGATAGTTTCACAAAGATTCCAGTGAAGGGGAAGGAATTTATATTTCTACTTCATAACCTGTAAGGAATTTTGCTACAAATCATTTTGTTAAAAAGAAAACCAATCTGAGTCAGCACCGTGGTGCACACTTGTAATTCCAGTGGCTTGGGAGCCTGAGGATCACAAATTCAAGGTCAGCTTCAGCAACTTAACAAAGCCCTAAGCAACCTATCAAGACCCAGTCTCAAAATAAAAATAAATAAATAAATAAAGATCTGGGAATGTGATTCAGTGGTTAAGTGGTCAATCCCTGGTACCAAAAAAAAAAAAAAAAAAAGAAAAGAAAGAAAGAAAAGAAAACCAATTTAGCAAAAGTTTTTTTTTTTTTTTTCCTGTATCCACAAAGGAGAATATAGAGCTATCCCATAAACATCTAATACCTTTTTAGAATTCAGGAAAATGCAAACTTAAAGAGTGAACTACATGGGCTGGGGATGTGGCTCAAGTGGTAGCGCGCTCGCCTGGAATGCGTGCGGCCCAGGTTCGATCCTCAGCACCACATACCAACAAAGATGTGTCCACCGAGAACTAAAAAATAAATACTAAAAATTCTCTCTCCTCTCTCGCTCTCTCTTAAAAAAAAAAAAAAAAAAAAGAGTGAACTACTATTTTCAGTCTTCTGATTGACAAGAATTTTTAGGTTTAATTTGTGAGTTGAGAGAAAAATGGGTGCTTGCATATATTATAGATACGAATGCACTTATATCTATATGCACCCTGATATGTGTGCCTTTTTTCATTTTGGGAATGTCTAAAATTTAGGCATTTAAAAGACAATCCCAAAATGAAAAAAGGCACACATACCAGGACCTGAGAATTGCACCTAGCTCAGGAAACTCTCATGTGTATATACAAAGAGATATGGTGTCACAGCATCATTTGTAACAATGAAAAACATAATTTATAAAAAATGAAAATTTGAAAACTACATAAATATGCTTTAGTTTGAATGATACATGTATACTGTGGAAACTAGTGCTGACACTGATCGCTAGGGGATATAGTTGAATTTATATTAGAGAAAATGACAGACCCTGAATGTATATACCAGTGATAAGAGTAATTACACCAAAACTGTTCACAGCTCTTGTCACTGAAAATGCTATTAAAATTGTAATGTTTAAAAAAAAATTGTAATGTTTGTCACAAAGGTCTTTAGTTTTATCTCAAATGTTTTTATTCTTTTTTAAAGAGAAGCTTTATTTAAAGAGATACTACATAAAAATAACTAAAAGAGTTCTAACTCTCTCTGTTCAGAAAGTCTGAGTGTTCTTGTACATATGGTTGTTCTGAATGTCTTGACTTGCTAATTAAATTGTAGATTGTTTTGACAAGTTAACCTACCTAGTCATTTCTTCGTTTTTTTTGTTTTGAAGCATAATCCAAAATATAATTTCTTGCTTAGTGAAAATATGCTATTATTATGGACCTCCTTTTATTATTTGGATGATACTTTTGTGTCCTTCATATTTATAAATAAAATTCATAGTAAATGAGAATTTTATTTTAGTTATTAGGCAAAACTTTCTGTCACTTAAAAGGAAATTTAAAATCAACTTATTGTTCTTTCCTTTGTAGGTCGTTTATATGCTATGCAAACTGGAATGAAGATTGATAGTAAAACTCCTGAATGTCGTAAATTTTTATCAAAGTTAATGGATCAATTAGAAGCCGTAAGTTAAACACGGATAATTTATTATCAGAATGAGTTTTAAATGCCATTTTATTTTGTGTGTTTGTGTACTCGTGTGTATATATTGGTCATTTTTGTTCTTTCCCTTGGCAACATTCAGCAGTATCATTATACCTGAGGAAAAAAATGACACACCTTTTTTTTATTTACATCATACTCTAAGAGGAATTGTTGAGTATAAATTAGGTTGAACTGTTTACTTATATAGATTATATCTTTTTCCCCATTTTTGTAGATCACTTTTGGCTCATCATCTGTTGAGTGTCAAACCCTTTCTAACCTTCCCTCACATAGTCCTGTGGATGATTGTTTTGGAAGGCCTTAAATAGCTCTTATCATGATGAAGTAGGCTATTTTCTTTAGTGGAAGATGAAAAAGGAAATGACACCAGTTACTTATCTTCTCTTCCTCCCCTTCTGAGTGTCAGGGCATGCTACTCTTAGGGTTTAGCATCATTCCCTCCTAGCAGGAATGTGGGGGTGACTAATAAGTCATATTCTTGAACATTTTATAACTTCACGAGTCACTGTAGAGTTGGCTATTGAGGAAAACTCGAATGGGCTGGATTGAATGTCAGTGCATAAAGCATGCAGTGCTAGTCATAGTAGTTTCACTTTATAATCAGGCTGCCCTGTGATTTTTGTGGCCAGCTGTCCCGGCGTTTGCTTTTAACAAAGTTAAGGGCTAGTCCATATTGATGCATCTTCTCCTAGGCTATTACACTGATAGCTGTGGCTTATTTTCTATTGTCTAAATTTTTAAAACTTCCATAATCTAATTCTAAGTTGGTCATCTTATTTAGAGTTAGATTTTTTTACACATTGTGCTCTAAGAGATACTGTTTTTAGACATAATGATTCTTCTAGTCTTCTTTTTTATATTTGATAGAAGAAATTTAAATGAGAATAAATTAAGATTTTTAATTATATATTTTGGGGGAATAATTTTCTAATTTCACTATTAGGGTAACTTATAGTATATGGGATAATATTGGTGAAATATTTTTCTGATGCTTCATAAGGATACTTGCATATATTATCTGATTGTTCTTGATTATTTTTTGTCTTTAGAACTAAATTATACTATTATGTTATCATAAGTATATTTCTTCATAGTTGTATAAAAATTGGATTTTGTTTTAAATACATTGGACTAAGAGACAACCACTTTCTGTAAGATTTCATTGATACATTTTATTGAAATGAATATAAAATAATTTAATTTAAATGATTATTAGTTTTGTGTGCACTTAAGCAGAGACTTAAAAATTCAGAACTATGAGCTATGTATCTGATTTTGTTTCAGCTTAAGAAACAGTTGGGTGATAATGAAGCTATTACTCAAGAAATAGTTGGTTGTGCTCATTTGGAGAATTATGCTTTGAAAATGTTTTTGTATGCAGACAATGAAGATCGGGCTGGGCGATTTCACAAGTAAGTAAAGAAAGAAGAAACTAAAATTTACTTTATAAGTTTATTTATTGCCTGATATGAATTATCTTGTTTTCATTTGAAACTTTAATGATTTAGTTTTTTGTTTGTTTGTTTGTTTTGTTTTAAATTGTAGACCTTCAGGATGACTTGGGGTTATAAATATGGGGCTTTCTTTTTAGAGAAATGGCTGAAAAGGGCATGCTTTGCTGTTTTTTGTTTTTTTCCCCCAAGTAAATTAACTCTAATTAGCCATTAGCCATTCTTAACATTTAGGAAAATCTAAGAGTATGTTTTCACCAAAATCACAGCCTAACCCGATAATGTTGATTTTTAAAGTGTTCCTCCCAATTCGAATGATTTGTCATTATTATAATTTAATAATTAAATGTACAGAAGTGCATTATGATATGGTATGGATTCAGGTAGTACTCTAATTACATTTTATAAAATCAAAAACATACTATAAAACCTTGTTTTAGTATTTTTGTAAGTGTTGTTACTTTCTTCTAATAACATTAGTGTAGGAGTTCCATTGTGTTCTTGAAATCTGATTTAAACATTAGTTTCAAAGTGATTTTATAAACCTTGCAATTTTTCTTCTTCAAGCTAGGTGACTAATCTTACATTGTAATTTTTTTCATTTAAACTAGACTCTCTTTTTTCTTCTAGAAACATGATCAAGTCCTTCTATACTGCAAGCCTTTTAATAGATGTCATAACCGTATTTGGAGAACTCACTGATGAAGTGAGTGTATATTCTTTATTGTCTTATTAGTTGAAGATGAGTAATGTTGCAATTTATCAATTTTATTATTTTATGATTTATTTAAAGCAATGTATCCTTCAGAAATATAATGGGAACAAAGCATAATTTAAAAAATTTTTATTAGCCACTGTTTAAAAGTGAGAAGATATGGGTAAATTATTTTTAATAGTATATTTTATTTTTTGTACTAAGTTCTTTAAATCCAGCATGTATTTTACTCTTCGCTATATGTATAGCAGCTTTATTAGCCAGCTACAAGTTTAGAATTTGATTTTATTAAGTGTTCATATGTTATTAATCCTGTATAGTATTAAATTTCTACGCTATTATCTGATAAAATTAACAGAGGTAAGTCTTTAGGACTTTTTTTCCATTTCATTTCTAGTCAGAAGTATTATTGCTCATGAAGTACATATGGAACTTGATATTTTAAAAGCTACTTTATATCCATTTTATTAATTTGTTTCTCATAATGATTCTAAGATAAGCATAGTACATAATTATTTTATACATGCCCACATAGAGGCGACGTGACAAAAGTCATTGCTTTGAATTCAGTTTTGTTTTCACGGTAACAGGCTTTACAATTGGCATGAAAATTTTGTTTTGTGAAAGGAAAGATATTTATCTGGAAAGAGATAAAGAGAGCTACATATTCGACTGATGCAGTCATGATATATGGTGGTTTAAATACTACAAAGAACATCGAGTTCCATGATAGGATTTTTTAAAAATAATTTTCAGCTCTTAGTAAAGTTCCAAGCAAAAAGTACTGTCTATCTGTGAGGTATATGCATTTTTAAAAAAAAAAAAAAGATTGTATATGAAAACTGCAGAAGTTCTTTTTATTTGTACATAAAATGTAGTTATGCTATAGCTTAGATGATTAGAAGTAGGGACTTTGCCAGCTTAAAAGTTGTATAGGACATTTCAGAGTTGTGACAGATAACAACCAATTATTTGACTGGGTTTTTCTGTCCTTTCTATTCAAGAACATCAAGCATTCCTGGCCCTTTCTCACATAATGCCAGTAGCTTTCATTAGTCATTGAAATAACCAAGTACTACCTTTTTGTATTCTGAAGGCCTTATAAGTACATCCTACTTAACTGCCTTTATGGTTTTCAAGAAAACCAGGACCGTGAAGGAGAATAGTAAGAAAAGTAAGTTATAAGGCAGATTAGACTGATAATAGAAGGCCTGCAATCTTTGATTCGTGTAGTGTTGTAGTAAAGAACTGTACTTTGGGGGTGTTTATATGATAGGAATCTGTAGAAGGAGAGAACTGCAAGCCATTTGGCAAAGGAGGAATGATTTGATGAATTCTGTACACCTTAATTACAAAGTAGAGAGTCATACACATTGGATTGTTTTGATTGGAGAAAATAATATGTTCAGACTATGATTTCAAAATTTGAAGCATAGGTGACATCAAAAAGAAATCACTCTTGGAAATAAATAGGCAAGAAATGGCAAAGTAGAGAGAACAGTTCAAATTATGAAAGTCAGGTTGGATTATTTTAAAAGAGAGGAGAACATGTTCAACTAGATATCTTGGTAAGCATCTGTATTTAAAATACAAGAGGAGAAAGTAAAGTTATAAATACTAGAAATGTTCAGATAATATGAAAAAAACAAGATAAAGAGAACAAAATTTCTAGAAATCTCAAGTAATGGGTTCTTCTCATTTAAAGGATACCTAAACACTTTCACACACATAAAGCCTATGATTTTTCTGCATTTCAGAAGAAACATCTAATTTCATGTACCCTTGACGACAGTTTCCCTAGTTGTTTGAATATTGTATCTAAGACAAAGACTTCAAATGAGGCCACTGAGAAGGCTTCCCAAGAAGTTCAGGATGGTGAGGCAGAATTTGCATTATACTACCAATAAGATAGCATAAAACATTTTCCCAAAATGTTGACACTCTTCCCACTTAGGTAGCTCACTCACTACCCAGTCAGCTACCTAAGCACTTCCTGTGCCCTGCACTTACACTAAAACAAAATAAGAAATAGCATCTTTATTGTTGAATAAGGGACTCTAGATACCTGGAGGGGTCTGGAATGGTACAGGAAAAGAAAAAAAAGAAAGAAACAGAGAGAGGAAGGGAGAGAGAAAGAAAGAAAATTAAACAATTTAAGGCCAAAGTTGAAAGGGAAGCCCCTATTGTCACCTGATTGTTCTGAGGTTTATTCTTAGGCCTTCGTGTAAATTCCACATTTTTAAGTTAGAAAATATGTGAGTGCACAGTTAACAGGTAATTATGTAGCTGTTTTCATAACCATTATGCTATAGTGATCTTATCCTTACATGACTAAGGATTTTCTACTATGAATGAAGATTAACTAAATGTATAAAGTCAACCTACAAGGAAAGGGTGCCAGTAAGACTGGCCATGTGCCATCAGCATAATCCTGAAACCAATTAGTTTGATCATCCTTGTTTCAAATTTGTTTTCTCTTAATTTTATTCCATTTTGTTGTTGTTGTTATTGTTCCATTGTTTTTTGTTTCTAGAAATGGAGTTTTCATAATGATTACTGAGATTAACTTTTAAAAAAAATAATGGCCTAAAATACCACTAATTTTATATGATGCTCTGTTTCAGTAGAACAGGGAGAAATACACTCTAGCTGTGATTTTTTTTTTTTATCCTACAAATATGGATAAACAGAGCAATCAGTGGCATTAGCCCTTTCTCATAGTTCCTTTGTGTAAATGTAAGACTTGTATATACTGGTGATATAAGTATAAGGTACCTAAAATAAGACACAAACTATTGTAAAATTTCTTATTTCAAAAACTAATAAAAAGCTTAGTTGTATAAACTGGTTACTTAAAGCATTTAGCAGTTGTAACTCATTCCCTCCTTTCCACTTCCACTTTAGTTTCATCCTGTACTTTGAAAAAACTAACAGAGACAAAGACAGGAAACAGAAAAGTGGGAAAAGAATGAGTTTGAGGATTTCAGGTAGGCAGATTTTATTTCAAATATATAATCTTTAGATGTACTTCAGGACTCTATAACTAGTGTATTCATTTATAAGGGAAAAGCAGTGGTGGTACTGAACTGCATCATATTCCAGAGATTTGCAGCACAGTTGAAACTCTCTTCAAAATTGTTCCTTCCCTTGCTCCTCAAAATATGCTGTTTGAGAAACACTAAAATAGCATCAGAAAATGGGGAGAAGAGCATTATAATTGTTTTTGTTATTGTATTTTTAAATTATATTTCCAGGGTTGGGGCTGTGACTCTGTGGGAGAGCATTTGCCTAGTTAACAATAGGCCCTGGATTCAGTCTTCCAATTGTCTCTTATTGGCCCTACAAATTATGCTAAAAAGAAAAGAGACTCTGGTTGTCAGAGCCAGGCTTCACTGAACTCCAGAACAAGAAGTCATCTTACCTCTCTGGATTGAATTACTCTCCTATAAAGCAGAAAGCTTAGATAAGACAATCACTGCAGTCATTTCAACTGTACCAGGCTGTGATTATATATGCAGGCACATGAGAAGTAATGGGAAAAGGAGAATAAATAAAGAAGATGAAAAAGCAGACCAAAAAATGAAAAGGCAGAGAGAAACTAAAAGTTTTTAATTAGGAGCTAGGAGGGTGGGGGGTAAAAAAATTGACTAGTGATAAGTAGAACCTGAAAAATATGGCAGCAAGGAAGAAAGTTCTGGGAAGAAGGGGGATGTCAGGTCTCATAGCAACAATACTAGGAGGTTCAAAATACCAATATAACACAAAATATAAAAATAATAGAAGGTAATAAGCATAGAAGAAGCAACCTGAACACCTGAAGCCTTTTGTAGGATATTTGTAGCATAATGTTTGTGAGTCTTCCAGTTAGGTTTTTATTTGAAATTTCAGCACTTTGCATAAAAGTCACTGGATCACAAGCTGAAATAGTATAATTTACCTAATTTATTTATCTTCCTATTTTGAGCTCGTTTCTTCACAGACTGCTCTCTTCTGTCATTGTTTTATTAAAGAACGTTCAGGGACTTTTGTTTCCTGGCACTGCAAGTCTAGGCTCTCTTGCTAGATTTCCAGGCTTTCTATCATAGTTTTCCGTACCTGACTTATACTACTTACCTGTCCTAATTTTTGTTTGTCGGACTTGTCTGCTCACCATCCTGTCAGTTTTCATTTGGAAAATGCATTTTTAGCCTGCTTTGCCTACGTTTTACCTTCTCTTCAAGTCTTAACTATCTTATTCTAGCCTGTGTATGAATTTGTCCATTTTCTCAATTCTTTACCCTTTATTTAGAGTTACTTATAGTTACGTTGTAACTTTAATGACTTTTTTTATATTATAATTCAGAATGTCTCATTTTCTTCTTTTCCTTCTGAAACATTAAGTATAAATTTATACACTGAGTAAAATATCAGATTAAAGAAGTGACTGATTACTTGATGTTTCAAACATTGCTATAGTCAGCCTTTTATTTTTCTATCTGTAGATCAAAATATTTAGACTTTTGTACACAGAATTTCTTTCCTAATTCTCCTCAAAAGTAATAAATCTCATTTACTCACCAAATTTTTCTTGGTCCATTTCCTGGTATTTTTTGTTCCTCTTCATATTATTACTCATACAAAACTAAATAAGTGTATATTTTCCTTAGTCTTCAACTCATGTGTTGTTAGTTTTTAAAGTATAATTGATCTGCCCCTATTTCTTTCTCAACTCTCTTATCTCTGTTTTAAATATATACATTTAACTTATATCATTTCTTTTCAGCATTTTAGTTAAATTTCTTGCTATATAAACCTTTAGTATTCCTGTGGCTCTCTTTGAGTCAGTGTCCCAGTTTGAGGAATAGAAACACCAGAGTATATATTACTTTTTTAAAAACATTTTATATCTTAGAGCAAGGGATCTTCAAAATACAATTATTTTTCTTCTGTAATGGTATTTTATGTAATCTGCATCCAGTATTATTCATGGGCTTCCTTTTATTATATTTTAG